TCAGGAGTTTGGCGTGACTCGTAGGAATGTTGATCACTCTGTGTTTTATCGACATTCTGCATTAAGTCGATGTATCTATTTGGTTGTTTACGTTGATGGTATTCTTATCTCTGGTAATGATCAAGATGGTATCACCGATTTATAGCAACATCTCTTTAAGCACTTTCAGACTAAAGACCTTGGCAGATTTAAGTATTTTTTAAGTATTGAAGTTGCTCAGTCAAATTAGGTATTGTTATTTCCCAACGCAAGTATGCCTTAGACATTCTTGAGGAGACAAGAATAATGGGATGTAGACCTATTGACACTCCTATGGATCCGAATGTTAAGCTTCTTAACATTCTTCCGGGACAGGGGGAGCCACTTAGTAATCCTGAAAGGTATAAACGGCTTGTTGGAAAGTTGAATTATCTCACACTGACTAGAACTGACATCTCTTTTCCCCTGAGTGTTGTAAGTCAGTTTATGACTTCCCCTTGTGATAGTTATTGGGAAGCAGTTGTTCGTATTCTGTGATATATAAAGTCAGCTCCCGATAAAGGACTACTCTTTGAGGATCAAGGCCATGAACATATCATTGGATATACAGACGCTGATTGGGCAGGATCACCCTCTAACAGACGTTCGACATTCGGATATTGTGTTTTAGTTGGAGCTAATTTGGTGTTGTGGAAGAGTAAGAAATAGAATTTGGTTGCTCGATCTAATGCATATCGCGCAATGGCGACAGCAACTTGTGAGCTAGTTTGGCTCAAACAGTCGCTGGGAGAACTAGAATTTGGCAAAATTGATCAGATGGAACTTGTGTGTGAATAATCAAGCGGCTCTTCACATCGCATCAAATCCAGTGTCCATGAAAGGACAAAGCACATTGAGATAACTGTCACTTTGTCAGAGAAAAGATCTTATCGAGAGATATTGTTACAAAATTTGTGAAGTCAAATGATCAGCTTGCATATATGTTCACCAAGTCTCTCACATGTCCTCGTATTAATTACATCTGTAACAAGCTAGGTATATGATTTGTATGCACCAGCTTGAGGGGGAGTGTTAGTATAGAAATAAGTATTTATAAGTATTTCCTTCTTAGAATAGGAATAGGAATAAGAATCCTAGTCGAAAAAGGGTTCTAATGTAGTGTCTATAAATAGGGTCTCAATGTAACAATTAACATACACAATTCAATAATATTCTTTCAATATATTTCTCACAAAAACTATGACATCGCAAATAACATACACCATGGAACCTCCTACTTAATAGACCATGTCAAATCATTCATCACCAAGGCAAATAAGGATGGTCTAAGAACTGATCCACGATGTAGTAGCCCTATCTCAATTGGAAAGTTCTATGACTTTTCTCCCGCCATTCTGATTCGAGTCTTTTTGCTCCATCAAACAGGACCTTTATCACCCTAATTTACACTATCTAGACACCCTTAGCCTCTAACTACCTCCCGAGAACATTCCTATGGACTGTCATAACTCATAAGCCTTTTCAAGGTCAAATGAACATCATATGTAGGTCCCATTTCCTTTCATATATTTCTCCACCAGTCTTCCTCCCCATAAGGTGGATGGCTTCAAACTCCCTAATATGAATCCAAATTGATTCTTCAAAATGGACACCCGTGTCCTCACCCTTATTTGCACCATTTTCCCCCAAACCTTCATAGTGTGGTTTAGCAACTTGATACCCCTTAATTATTACTCCTCTGTTTCAAAAAAAATGACATAGTTTAACTTGACATGCAGTATAAGAAGATAAAGAAGACTCTAAATTTTGTGGTTTTAAATTAAAGTTATGTCAAATGTACCAAATTGTCTTTAATCTTGTGACCTTAAACATCCCACGTGGAAAGTTAAAATTAAAATGTCACTAAAAAAAGAACTTTGGATATCACCCTTGTTCGTGTACAATAGAATCATTGGACTCCACCGTCATTCGTCAAACATATTTGTCGTGTTAAAAATAACATCAAAAAACATAGTCAACCACTCCATACATGCCTTATGTGTGCTCTACCAAAATTCCACCGTAATCTCACCGGATCCGATTGCTCTTCCCTGCTCATCTTACTAATTGCACGTCTAACCTCCTCAACCTTAAAACACCTATGATACCTAATGTCCCAAAGTCTTTGAGAGTGCATCTATTTTCCCCAACACCTAGCCTTCCTCATCTTTGATGCACTTTACTAGATCCAAATCGCGAGCCTTTCTCTCTCTTACTTCTGCGAGCCTATACAATTTGTATAAAAACTCCAATTATATCAAATTAATTGAAGTAGTGATGTACAAAATTAATTTTTTTGACTCCGTTTCAGTTTATTTGTCTTACTTTCTCTTTTAGTTCGTTTAAAAAAGAATGTATCTATCCCTTTTTAGCACCTCTTTCATTCTAACTTTCTGCATATCATGTTTTAGACTACAAGACTAAAGCACGTATTGGTACATTATATATATCTTTAGTTAAAAACCATAAGATACAAGTCTTTTTAGTTAATTAAACTTCATACCAAGTATAAACCAGCTAGACAAACAAATTGAAATGGAGGGAGTATGATAAATAATAATAATTGAATTGACATATTAGAACTTATAGCTTGTTTGGTTAAAGCTTTTGGGAAATTATAAGTACTTATATTTTCTTTAAAAAAGTTTATTTTAGGAAGATATGATGTTTGGCTAGCTTTAGGAAAAAAATAAGCATTTTTTAGCTCATGTTTGGCTAAGCTTTTAGGAAAAAAAGTGTTTTTCAATAGTAAAAGAAGTTGAAAAAAGTTAATTTTCCCTAGAAGCGTTTTTGGAACCGTAAACAAGCATAAGTTGTTGACTTCATGTTGACAAAAATGCTTTTGAAATTGATTAGCTAAACACAATTACTTTTTCGTAAAGCCCTTCTGACAAAAGAGCACATCTCAAAATAAACAAATTTCGAAAGCTTGGACAAATAATCTATAAAATAAGCTTAATGGATGAGATCCAACATTACATGACTAAAACTAGTCAACCGAGTTGAGTCAAGCCAACTCAACCGAGTACGAGCTTCACCAAGCATAACTTTAAAGAAAATCTAGTTGTACCAACATTTGATTGAAACCAACACGATCGATGAGCCGGTGTGATTTGTTGTCTCGGCCTAGTGGAAGGGTTTGAATGGATGAGCTATGTTGCTCGGACTCTTCAAAAATGCCAACGGGTGCGTGTCGGGTTCGCCAAAAGTGGTGAATTTTTAAACAATCTGAAACGGGTGCGGCATCAAAAGTGGAGAGTCTGCGCAACTAAGTGGACAAGTAGGTGGTTGACATCCTCAAATTCAATTACACACATGACAGTAGCATTCCACTCAACTGTAGTTGTCTTGGAATACTAAATTCCATAAGACAATCTAGCAAAAACGAGAAACCTTAATATGTCTTTGCTTCTTCAAATCTCTCTCCGAGGCCAATAGGGAGTTAACGTTCTCAATGGAAATAAAAATTATTATAGGAGCTACCAGTAAAAGCTCGACTTTACAATGCTTCCACTTTAAAGAATTAGGGGTGTTCATTTGTACAATCTCCACGTTGTAGTAATTATCCCGATTTTCCACCCCACCTTCCTTTGAAGAACATTAAGTTTCTAAAGTAAAGATGTAGTGGTCCTGCAACTCTATCTAGAATTGGCTGTCCAGCCACCTAATTGTTACAGCTCCTCCTATGACTTCTATGAAATGAAAGAGTTTCACGGAAACTGTCTTGATCGTTAGATATCATCAAGAAAGAAATAGAAAGAAGTGTTATCGAATGCTTCCTGCAATTCTTTCTAGTATGGGATGAGTAAAGAATTAAGCTACAAGTCTCGATCTATATGCCTTATTAACCGACTTTCGATTTGATCCTTCGATAATGAGATAGCAAAGAAGGGTAGGGTTTCATGTTTAGGATTTTTACTTCCATATCCCAGTTCTCCGAAGCTACACCTATCGATTGAAATTTCCCTCCTCGGGCGAAGGCAGAATTGGCTCTTCTTGAACAATTCTTGGAAGAGTAAAGGAAGGAGAAGGGAACAGGAGATTCTCACCTCCTAAGAGTATAAAGAAGGAGAGTGTCAACCAACAAACTGATCCATGGTTTTTAGATTTATGCTATAGGGTACTGGGAACATGTTCTTGATAAGCATTCCAGCCATCATGTCAAACCCTAGTTTAGCTTGTTTTCTTTCTGCTAATTCCTCTCACAAACTTCTAATGTGATGCCATACACACACCCACAGTTCATGTTTATATAAGAGATGGACCATTCATTCTTTAAGAGCCACATCTCTCTATTAGTACTTCTGTCCATTTAACTCCATGAAACTGATCACATCTCCATAACCATTTGCACAGTCTTTTCTTATGATGCCCTTTTACCTTACCTTATCAAAGAGAAGAATAGGCTTTCCGCTTTTCTTACGCCCTTTTAGATAATTCACCCTCATTCCTCCTTCTCATAGTCATTAAACTATTTACTTTATCATAAAAAAGGGCTTTCAGAAAATCAATTGACACATTAGATATGTACAAGATTGATTATACCTACTCTAAATCCAATAATTCCAATTCCCAATGAATATGATGTTTTTATGCACAAAATCACACGCAATCTATATGAATTTTCTCTATTGTAACATTTTCGTAGTGGAAAAGTAGAATAACGGATAAGCATTTCATGTAGGTGACATGTGCCTTCCCTATTTGAAATTCTAAAAGCTAAATCCCCATCCTCCTTAGCAAAATTATACTTCTCCATATAGAGTACCATATTTTAAAAGGCTTTCATGACTTCTATCTTTAAGTAAATAATAGAAAGACTTGATTGACATTTTTCCATGAGAAGATTTAATTGTTAAAAGGATCTTACAAGTTTTGGATACACACATAAGTAACTACATAAAATAATATTAAAACATATCAATATGATGTGCATATTAAGTAAATAAAAATCATAAAGTAGATGATATACATAAGAATACCTTGAAGGTAGACATAACATTCACCAAACAAGTGTTTTGGCACATCTAGTTGCTCATAGGTCTCAGGCCTGCATAGGATTGAAAAATATGAAGAATTGACCGAGATATAGCTTTACTGATATGCATGTGTCTGAACATGTCTATGTACAGAAATCATTCAAAATCGGGGACGTGCACACTTATACTTACTCCATTAGCACAATGTTTCCAGTTTCCTCATCTGTATAAAGATACGTGAAACTCTTTTCTGCAACAAATACTCCTGCACATCCAACACCAATAAGGCCAAGAGAAACGGACCACTCATCCACAACAAAGACTTGGATGGAGTTTAGATGACTATATAATCCAATTACAAAAGTGGGCTCATGCAACTCAAGTTGTCATCTTCAATGAATGATTTTACAAAGAAGTTTTTCTAGTTCACAAAATTGGACCCAGCCTTTAAGTGACGTTAACTTCTTGACGCAAAAGAAACCAGCTATTACACGCCACATGAATCCTATTATCCTACATTCAAAACCAATATGTATGTGCTCTTATAATGACCTATAATGAAACTTTGGAGAAAATGTTTTTAATGTAAAAAAAAGTTGAATGGATGATATGACATATTCGTGTTCACCTAATTTATAATCTGCTAAAGACAGGTTGTCAAACATAACAGTCAAATTAGAGTCTGTTTGGATGCGCTTATAGTTTTTTCGCTTATAACAAGAGCTTAACAACACCTTTTTATTTTACCCAAACAAAGGTGTTTAAAGACTACTCATTTTGTAGAAAAATACTTAAAATAAGTCAATCCAAACAACCTCTTAATTTACTACAAGAACACTTAACTTTTAGTGCGTACCTCACAAGAGATGAAGATGTGTGTAACCCTCCAAATTCTACAAAAACAATAACATGCCCAGTGTACTCTCACAAGTGGGTTGGGGAGAGGGGTGTATGCAACCTTACCGCTATCATTGTGGGTAGACAGGTTGTTTCCGATAGACCAACGACTTAAGAAAAATCGTGTTTTAGAACAAGTTCACAAAAAATGTATCGAGTAAAAAGCTACAACGACATACTAAAGAAAGAAAAGTATTGACATTAGAAATAGTATTGATACCCAAAGAAACAGGAACAACCAAAGTAATAAACTTGATGAATAAACTAATACTAGCATAATAATAATAATAACAGTAAGGGAGCAGATAGTTGCTCCAGACTAGGCACCTGTTCTACCACTGAAAAAAGAGAAATTGCTCAACTACCTACTAACTGTCTACAATAATCCTTGACCTCCATGTTCTCCTATCTAAGGTCATGTCGTCGGTAAGTTGAAGTTATGTTCTATCATGTTTACTCACCTTTCTCCAATACTTCCTCGGAATATCTCAGGCTAATCTCTGTCAACCTCTCACACCTTCTAAACGAGAGTGTTCTTGACTGGCCAACACTCCATCCTATACAACATAGTTGAACTAACAATCATTTTATAGAACTTAACATTAAGGCTCAGTGACACGTTCTTATCACATAGGAAAACGGATGTGAGTCTCCATTTCATCCACCTTGCTTCAACATGAACTGGAACATCTCCTTGGATCTCCCCATTCCTTAGATTATATACCCATAATATTTGAAACATATACTCTTTGGTCAAGCTTCTAAAATCAACTTATTTTGAGATGTGTTTCTCAAAAAAAATACTTTGGGTGAGAAGTAATTTGTGTTTGGCTAATTAATTTACAAAAGCACTTCTGAGCAACAATTAATGTTTGACCAAGCTTTTAAATAGTGCTTCTAAGTGTATTTTGTCAAAAGTATTTTTTTTAAAGTACTTTCGGCGAAAAGATACCTTTATAGCTTCTGAAAAAAAGTTTATGCTACTTCCCAAAAGCACTTATTTTCTCCCCAAGGTTTGGAAAACACCACACTTTTCTTAAAATAAGTACTTTTTGAAAGAAAAACGCTTTTAGCCTCCCAAACACTTGGTTAAAAAGGCTATTATGCTCTTGGGATGACTTGTGTACCAATCCTCACTTCCCTATCCACCGCCTATCACATGTCACTAAACTTGCACTTCATTTAGTATGTTTTAGTCTTGCTCGGCTTGAAGCCTTCAGACTCTAGGGTATGTCGCCAAACCTCTGATCTATCATTCATTAACTCCACCAAATGCCTCGTCAATCAATATTATATCGTCCGCAAATAACATACACCATGGTAAGCCTCCAATTCTATAGCCCAAAAGACATTGCAAGCTTAACCCATGAATTGATCAAATTATTTCCTTCATTGAACTTAAGTTCACACAATGAAATGCAAAAGCCTTCAATAACATGACATAGTCCTTGAAAAAAAGATGTGTGATATTTTGCATGAAATGAGTTACACAACAAATATGATGGATTGCGACTAGAGATGTGGAATGCATACTTTCAACAGTTTCATCCGTACGAAATCTTTCATTGGACTTGCTTCCACTATCAACATCACGAAGTTCCACCTAATATGATTGGCAAAAGACAAAGTTAAGGAAATAATAAGATGATGTACACATTCTTTTCAAAGAAAAGAGAGAACAAAAAAAGATATTAACATTATAACAATAGCTATTGTCTTGAATGATTAGCAAATGTTAGGAAGTTGAGAATCATAAGTAAGCAACTTAGATGAAGTTTCAGAACGACAAAGAACAAGAAATTAAATCCCAACTGAATCATAATTCTATAAACCCACAGTTGTATGATGACTTCAACATTCAAAACCAAAGTATTGTTATCAAACAAGAGTACTCATCACTCACATTTGAGGTTAACTATAAAACATAGGAAGCGACTAGGGTTCTGTCTGTATTTTTCCAAATAAGGTGAGCATGCTGAGTTTCCGGCTGTTCTTTTATAAGATAATGATACTAAGCTACTGGCTGTTGTTTTTATAAGGTAAAGATACTAAGCTTCTGGCTATTGTTACTTGTTAACCACTGATTCTAAGATAAATGTCAGCGAAATAGTGATACTTCATGTTCTATGGATTCGTTTTTTAATTGCATAATAGATATGCTAAAACTTCTGTTATTATTCTCAAGCAGAAAGGCAAATTCGCCATCCTGAAGACCAGTAACGCTGAATACTGGAAGCTCACTGCTAAAGAGAAGTCAACAAGCCACATCCAATAGAGTTGGATTAGATGGTGAGCTTTTTGGGATTTACAAATGGTATGCTGCTGACTAGGGGATTTACAACATCAAATTCAAAATTATCGACATGTGTGACTGGACAAGTTTGATCCACCATCACTTGTAGTTTGCATTTTTTGGACTAGTGGAGTCCCCCAAAAAACAGAACATAAAAGATATTATGAGAAACCAGAATCACAAGTTCTGCCACGATAAAGATAAGGTAGGACAGCTTCAAACATTGATCCATGATAAATTCTTATCTACAGTCCAAGGAAAGTAACTATTGGCTTAAGATCGGAAACAAAAAACTGTATGTGCCATGAACCTTAATTTCAAAGAAGGTAACACAGATAGCCTTCAAACAGCATAACCAAGTGGCCACTGAACAGCACAAAATTGGACAACTCTAGGAAATAAGGAAAAAAAGTGCCCTACAAGAAAATCTTCCATACCCTGCCGGCCTAAAGATGCGTTCAAATGCTATGTGCTCAGTAAACTAGAAACAGCAAATGAATCCAGGTTAGATCTACATTTGGTTCTAAGTTCTAACCTATACAAAAATGTCGAATATACATATCAACTTGTGGTTCGAGCTTGGTTAGAGATCACTCGCTCCAATCAATGTTGTCCAGATGGATGCATCAAATGGAAGCAAAGGAAACCAAGTCAGAGTGGTGAAACTTGAAAGGTAAATATGAGTGAAGGTATGTACTTTACAATAGGAAGAGGCTAAAATTATAAAGGGTGCCAAATGCTCATTTGATATTGCAGTAATTTGAAACTATCCTAGAAATTAAAGCTCCCAGGCACAGTTCACAAAAACCCTCTCTCTCCTACTTCCTAGGAGGGAGAAACACTCTCTTTCCGGTAGTCTTGCCGTGAACTACCACCTTTCCTTCACATCAACTGAGTTACCACCTTCTGTGGTACCTCAAAATCTCTTTACTTTCCTCTTATATCCTTCTATACCATGGGGGATAATAGACTATACTTCAATCAAGGATTCAAATCTTACGACATTACCATATGGACTTCCAATCATGTTTTCTGGTATGACTGGGTTGAAAGAAGCAGAAAGAAGATGAGTAGGATTTCACTTAGTGCGAAGGTGATGGACAGGATATGCTTCATTCTCAGGGAAGCCTCATCCGACCAGAAAAATTTAGTGAGAAGATGGCGATACAAGGACCAGGCAGCAGAATTTTTTGGTACTAGGAAATATAATGCTCATCGGAGGTACATGAGCATTCTGTCACTAAAGGGAGAAGACAGATCAGTTATCATAGTACCTGAATTAGACATTAATGTTGGGTGGAGTGTGGCATTTAAGATACAAAGCTTTATTAAATGCATACCACAGAAGGAGTTGAAGATCAAGTCCCAAAAATGTGACATAAATGTCCCTTTTGCAAAGGTGGTTGAGGGCAGTAAATGGCAGAGTAGCAAATATGAGGCACCCACAGCTAAGGACAAAAAGACTGAATCCGAGGCAATTGTCAAAAGCAGAGAACAAGGTCTGCTGGGAAGGTGCATTGTCGGATTCTTTGACAAAAAAAATGCAGAAAGGCCTACCTTATCTGATGTTAGACAATGGTCTACAACAGTGTGGAAGAAGGCTTTTGGAGTCAATATATATGAGATAATGGGTAGACACTTTCTCTTCGAGTTCCCCAACAGATATATGGCGGAACAAATCCTTCAGGGAGAATGGATGTGGAAGAGAAACAAAATAAAATTAGAGTGGTGGAACCCATCTGTAGTTGTGAACCAACTACATACAAACCCAAATCCACATGGATTAGGGTTATGGGTTCGCCTATGCATTTATGGACGGACGAGACCTTCAAGGAGATCGGCGAGCTCTGTAGTGGATGGTTGATGACGGAGGAGGAGACAGAACAGAGACCATCTCAAATGGGCAAGGATCGAAATACGAGGTGATGGTCGGAGCATTCCAAGTGAAGTCTCTATTTCCAGAGATGGAGCCAAATTCATAATCCCAATCTGGGCAGAGAGGAAAACCCTATTTGAGTTACCATCGGAAAGCAATAAAACAACCACCGGAGAAGATCAACTGAAGATACAGCGTATAATAGATCTCTAACCATCTATATCCGAGAAAGCAGAAATACAGGTTATTGATGTTGATGCAGCAGTGGGAAATCACGTGGAGGCGACTGTCCAAATTTTTAAAAAACCTAAAGTAGCACGTGCTAGGCATGTGCAAATCTTTAAAAATAAAGATTTGGTCAGTAGGTTAACTGTGCCGGATCAGGCAACAATTATTTTTAATAACTTAAGCCAACAGCCCAATTCTGACTTTCAAGAGGTGGTAATAGATGAATCTCTGGAAAATTACTCCAGTCGTGATGGAACTGGAAGGAAAACTCCAAATTTTTCTACAGAGTTTTTTGGGAACCAGTCACGAGAAGAAGGATTCAAAGAAGGATTCGAAGAAGGAAAAGAAGCAGGAATCTCCTGTTTACCCATTAACGAAGTAAACACATGCATCATATTGGGGGAAACCATTGCAAACGAAAACGAGCCACAACAAAAAAATCTGGAGATGTTTAATTCTAAAGAAATTTGGGATGTACAGTAGATTGAACCACTACGTACCCAAGTACTAACTGATTCAGAACGGAGGGCAGCAACATGGGTACAACAAAATCTTCTTAAACTTCACAAGATGTTTGGAGTAGATTTTCAGGGGCTTGAAGAGGAAGCACTTGAGTTTCTTAAGCAGGTTGATGCAAGCAGACGTGCCAGAAGAATGGAGCAAACAGTAGAAGTTAAAAGAGCAAAGCATAAGGGAGCACAAGAGTTAAGAAATTTGATAACTTTTGATGTCAAATTCAAAAGCAATGGTGATAGAGAGAAGGGGAAGGGAAATCACATACTACTCCATGAAGATAAAACTAATCTCTTGGAATGTTAGGGGGCTGAATGAACAGGGAAAAAGAAGGGTGGTAATAAACATGTTGCAGGACTGGAAAGGAGACATTGTCTGCCTCCAGGAAACTAAATTAGAGGGCGATGTACAGGACTTAGTTAAACAAATTTGGGCAGGGAGATGGATTAAATATGTTTGTTTAGAGGCCAGTGGAACTAGAGGAGGAATCCTATTGTTATGGGATTCCAGAATGTGGGAAGGGGAAATTATTCAAGTTGGAGCCTGTACTCTCTCTTGTAAAATCAAAGCTCAGACAAGCAATTTTGAATGTCATATAACCGGAGTGTATGCTCCCGAATAGTAAAGTGGAGAGGAGGGTTGTATGGGAAGAACTGGCTGATGTAAGAGGCTTGATGGATGGTCCATGAGCTGTTTGTGGTGACTTTAATGTCTGTAGGTTTCCTTCTCAAAAAAAGGAATGCGACAGGTTAAACTCAGCAATGACACAGTTCGCAGAATGCATTGAAGACGTGGACCTCATAGATCTGCAATTAAGTGGCGGAAGGTATACTTCGTACAAGGGTGATAACCATATCACAGCATCCAGGATAGACAGGATTATGGTTTCAACTGAATGAATAATCTTTTCACCAACATAAAGCAAACTACTATGCAAAGAGTGACTTCTGATCATGTTCCTATAGTGTTGCTATGTGGACATTGGTAACAATCTAAATCCTATTTTAAGTTCGAAAATTGGTGGCTGACCCAAGATGGATTTGTTGATAGAATCAAGATTTGGTGGAATAATTTTGAATTCTATGGGAAGCCAGATTACATCTTAGCATGCAAACTCAAAGCCCTCAAAGAGAAATTGAAAGAATGGAGCAGAAATGAACAAGGTAATCTGAAATTGCAAAAGAACAACCTTCTCAATCAGATGGCTGAGTTAGAATCATATCAGAGCAACAGAGTGTTAACTGAGCAGGAGATGGAAAAAAAAGCCACACTTTTCATGGAGTACGAGGGGTATTGGAAGAATGAGGAAGTGGCCTGGAGACAGAGATCAAGGGCTTTGTGGCTCAAGGAAGGGGATAGGAATACAAAGTTTTTCCACCAGACAGCTAATGCCCACAAGAGATGCAACAATATTGATCAACTGGAAGTTAAGGGAGAGACTATAACAGAGCCAGACAGAATTAAAGATGACATTATTTCTTTGTACAAAAAATTGTATATAGAACCTGAAGATTGGAGGCCCGCTGGAAATATCAGCAACCATCCTACCATTACAGAGGGTGAAACTGAAGCATTGCTGGAAGATTTTGAGGAACAATAAGTACTTGAGTGTTTAAAAAAGTGTGCTATAGACAAAGCCCCTGGTCCTGACGGATACACTTGGGAGATCATTAAGCATGACATTATGGGGGCTTTCCACAATTTTCACTCAACTGGGATGTTTGAAAAGAGCTATAATACAACCTACATAGCAATGATTCCTAAGAAGATAAGAGTGAAGGAACTCAAGGACTTCAGACCCATCAGCTTAATCGAAAGCCTCTATAAGCTAATGTCCAAGGTTTTGACAGAAAGGTTGAAGAGAGTTGTGGATAAGTTGGTAGACAAACAACAGATGGCTTTTATCAGAGGCAGACAGATCATGGATGCAGTTTTCATTGCTAAAGAAGCAATTGATTCTAGAGTGTCCTAGAAGAAACCTGGTATACTATGCAAACTTGATATTGAGAAAACATATGACCATGTGAATTGGGATTTCACTCTAAGTATGCTGAAACAAATGGGATTTGGTAGCAGATGGATCGGTTGGATCAAGTTTGTATTTCAACTGTTGAGTTTTTAGTACTCATCAATGGTCTTTTGAAGGCTTTTTCAACGCACACAAAGGAGTCAGGCAAGGGGATCCCTTATCACCCTTCTTGTTCATCATAGCTATGGAGGGTCTTAACAATATGTTGAAGATAGCCAAGACAACTGGAAGAATACAGGAATTTGAAGTCAGTAAGGTTGTCGGGAATAGCATGGAGATCACACACCTACAGTATGTTGATGATACACTGATATTGTGTGGGGCTGAGGACGAGCAATTGCTGATTTTGAGACTACTACTAGTTTACTTTGAAGCCATATTTGGACTACATATAAACTGGAACAAAAGCCATTTGTATCCAATTAATGTGGTTCCGTATATGGAACACCTCTCACAAACCTTGGGAGGAGTGATAGGTACTCTGCCATCAGTATACTTGGGCATGCCTTTGGGGGCAAAGTCTGGAGCCATAGACATTTGGAACCGTATAGTGGAGAAATGTGAAAAGAAACTAGCCAGATGGAGATCACAATACCTCTACTTGGGAGGTAGATTAACACTGATAAAGTCTGTTCTGGATGCTCTACCTACATATATGCTATCTATCTTCCATATTCCCCAGATCAGTAGTTCAGAGGTTGGACAAAATTAGAAGAAATTTCTTGTGGCAAGGAAATAGGGAAAGAAAAGGCTTTCAATTAGTCAAGTGGAAGAACATCATCATAAGTAAGACGCAAGGTGGATTAGGTATCAAGAATCTCAAAAATCATCGCAAAGCTCTTAAAGTGAAATGGTTATGGAGGTACCATCAGGAGGACCAAGCACTATGGTATAGGGTGATCAACCACAAGTATGAGGACCTAAATAAACGGGTAACCAAAGAGGTAAATACCCCCTATGGGATTAGCCTTTCGAAATCCATCTGAATATTTTGGCCCTTCCTCAATAATCAGTCAACTGTAAAGGTACAAAATGGTAGAAAACCCAGTTTCTGGTTTGATAAATGGTTGGGTGGTACGAGCCTCAAAGATCGTTTCCTTGACATCTTTACACTGGCTCAACACCAACAAAAGATTGTCCCTGAAATGTGGACACAACAAGGCTCGGATCTGATTTGCAAAAGAAATCTGAATGACTGAAAATTCCCAGAATACTTGAATTGCTTAAGGTTTTGGAGAGTTTTCAAGGTATACAAACAGGCGAGGAATTTATGGTGGCAGGGGCACAACAAAGGTAGTTACAAGGTGAAAGAAGGATACAAACAGATAAGTACTGGTGGCATTCAAGACTTCAAATGGCCTTGGAAGCAAATCTGGAGGATTAAAGTACCACACAAAGTGGCATTCTTTACATGGCTACTAGCCAAGGAGGCAGTCTTGACATTGGATAATGTGGCCAAGAGAGGAATCTCGCTATGCAATAGATGTTCCTTGTGTGGGAAGGCTAATGAGACAGTGAGACATCTCTTCTTACATTGCAACTTTTATTGGGCGACTGTGGCAGATTTTCCTTAATCTCAGAGGCATATCTTAGTGTATGCCTAGCAAGATTGATGAGACTCTATTAGGTTGGGAGATGGCTGGAGTTGGGGCTACAAACAAAGAAAGATGGTGGATGGTCCCAGCTAGTAGTTGGTGGACTATATGGAGGGAGAGAAACGAGAGACGTTTTGAAAATAGGAACAACAACCTGCAGGAAGTTAAGCTTAAGTGTATTTTGTTGTTCGGCTTTTGGTCTACTCCAATGAAACTGAGTCAACCATAGATGTTTTAGGATCCATTTAGATTTGGTTCAATTTTTTGGATAGATTATACTTACTTTCTGCTTTTGTAAATATGGTTTTTCAGTACTACCTAAGTACTATGTGAAATACAATGTTACAGTTTCAAAAAAAAAATGCTCATTTGATACTATTTGCAAACTTATGTAAATGAGTAACTAAACTTATTTCATCATTTGATTAAGATCCTATACTTTTAAAAAAGTAATAAGTGATTATGTACTGAACATAATCGCATAGGATTAGTGACCATAGGGTATAATTTCAAGTTCTTGTATTTCACAAAATAGTATAAGAAATGAAGCTATTAACTTATAGACAGAATGGCAACAGTAAGAAGAGTGATACAATTTGCATAAGATGGAATAATAACCTGTATAATAGCTCCTCCTCTTCCTTGGGTTGTGTGTTGTGCCTTTACCACCTAATGATTAATTAATTTCATGAAAATAATTGTCTTTTACTTCACTACAAGAAAGAAAAAATTGCATAAAAGGAAGGAGAGAAAAAAGATAGTAATATGCATAAACTAACCTGATAAATCCTTCCTGGTGAAATCAATAGTCAAAAGAACAACACATCATTATTAGTCTATGTGTACATAGACATATACAAAGCCATAGATCAGAAATGTGGGCAAGCTAACCTTTTTTTTCAATCACATTTCCTGGCTTCAACTACACCAAAATAATATGATTGTGAGCATTTAATAATGAAAAAAACAGAACCTACATAAACTTCTATGTTAGCCAGCTCGTATATTAGCTTCATTCAAGATTAAGAACACAGCAGAATAAATTATTAGGCATTTGGACATAGATTCCAAATACTTTCACAAAAGCAGCACCGGAATTATATATTCGTTAGGAAAATTGGAAATTTATGCCACTATGAACATTCGTTACTGTCATATACCAATCGCTAAAACATTAAAATCAAAGTCGTAGAGAGGATAACTTACATCTGCACCGCGAGATTTGGCACCGCGGAGTTGAGTTGCGGACCAAGGCGAAGCAAATAGAAAATCCCGAGATTCGCGATACGACGATTTGGACTGAATGTAAGTGGAAAGAGGTCTTGAAATCTTTGTGGAGGAAGTTCTCTTCAAATCCCAGAGAGCTCGGGAAAGTCTCTTCATAACAACTCGCATCTTCTTCTTTTTCTGGTGGCTTGGCTTTGGGTAATAAAAACTCTAGAAAATTAAGGGAAAGTTGTAAAATAAGTCTCCTTTTTGTTTTTTGGTGACAAATTGATTTATCATTTTTAAAAGAAAATTAGTCAATTCAAAAAAAAAATTATTTTGAGAAAATGTGTATGTATTGTTATCATTTAGTGAAAAGTTATTTTTTATTGCTCTTATTATTTTTATTTTTTTTGACTATTTTGTTGATACGATTTTAGAAAATATAGTGTTATTCAGGGGTCTGAAATATATTTCATTTGTTTAAATAATTTAGCGTATATTGCCACATTTTAGTGATATGTTGTGTCATGTGTTGCCACATAAGATTCAAATGTTGCAATAATCTGTACAGATGTGTCAACATATGACGCATCTGTTGCTACATAAAATGTATATGTTACGCAACAGCAGGTACATATGTGGCAACATAATGTTAATTTATAACAACAGACTATCCATCGGTTGCAACATACTACTATTATTATTTTATAATGAATTGTAAAATCTAAATATTTTGTTATTTACCTTGTAGGTGAAATGATACAAAAAGTTTCATCCATGACAACAATTCAATCTTCTAATATGAAATGCTCTTTTTGTCTATGCGAAGAATGTGAGCAGCAACATGATTAATTTATTAGTCGTGTTAAAAAAACTCACTGATATTTTTAAGGAACTATCTCATAATATTGATGTGCAAAGATCCAAGAAGACTTCACATCCAATGTAGGAGATTGAAAAAATTTATTTCTCAAACACTTTCTATGATTATTGAGAAGAAAGAAAAAGAGAAGAAGTCAAAGTAGGAGAAGGAGAAGGAGAAGGAGGAGAAGGAGAAGTAGAAGAATGCAAAGGAGAAAAGGGAGAAGAATGCAAAGGAGGAAAAGGAGAGGGAGAAGAAGGCAAATGAGGAGAAGGAGAGGGAGAAGAAGCCAAATGAGGAGAAGGAGAAGGAGAGGAAGAAGAAGGCAAAGAAGATGGAGATGCAGAAGCAGAAGGAGAAGGTGAAGGAGAAGGTGAAGCAAAAAGAAAAAGCAAAAGCGAAAAAAAAGGGAAGAAAGTCGAAGTTGTCATTTGTGATGTGAAGTGACCATATCAATTTGAAGGTTTCAACATTGACGGCGAGGGTCCAACTGAACTAATGCCATCCTTCTCGCAATGGATAAAGGAAGGTCTTTACAAGCATCATGCAAAAAAGTACGTAAAGTAAGGTCGTTCAACTATTATTAGAATTTCTTCTAGTTGTCCAATAAATAATGATTTATAACGATTACACAATTGCAGAGCAAACAAGGAGGATCACTAGTTAGATAATTACTCAAAACTTGAATTTGACCAACTTGATTTAGTAGTTGCATTTCCAATGAATAAGGACTAATTCTACGTAATGTCTCAACCTAATAAGTGCTGGAATGATGAGGTAAATTCACGTCCACTTTTATATGTATTGTTTAATAAATGAATATATACAATTAAATTGATACACTTGTTTCATCTATGAGTATGTGGATGTCATATTTTACTATTTGTGTAAGAAGTCGAAGCAATAGATTCATTCTAAATATCAATATACCGTCACTATTTGTTTTTTCAAAACATACATTGACAATTTTAGTGAATATGAGGATAAAATCATTGACATAATGAAAGGGTATGCTATACCTTCTGGAATGCCTTGGCACTTGACAGATGATGTTTATGTCCCTATAAATAGTAATAGGGGATTCCGTTGGGTCTTGGCAGTCGTTGCATTGAAGAAACGGTGCATAAAAGTGTATTTCAAGTCCTCAAATAGGTCTAATAGAAAACTATTCTCCGAGATTCAAAAGATGGCTACAATGTTGCCAAAGTACCTTGAGTTGAGTGGATTTTTTGAGCAAAATGAGCGAACCAACTGGTTAGTTCTTAAAAGTTACCAATGAAAGAACAAATCTCACAAATTCGAAGTCAGTCATGTTACTGGTATTGCCCAACAAGAAAGCAGTAGTCTTATCACAATATTATTTTGTCTTACGATTATCGAAATATGATGTTATTATATTTTCTGATTGATGATATACCATGCAGAGATTGTGGAATTTTTGTTGATGCATACACTGAGTATTTGAGTGATGGATTACAAGTACCATCATGTTGAATTAGTGCTGACACCCTTCACTTGAGATATGCTTCACTCCTATGGAATTATGGGATTGTTAAGGCTCAAAATGATTATGTTAGTGACAATGAAGACCCAGAGATGCGTAGAACTAAAAAAAAGCTAAGATCGATGAAAATGTTGTTTTTACAACCATTGATTAGATAGGTGGTTATGTATTAAAATGTTTTTTATTTATTATTTCGATTTTGTTTAAACAAATAACAATTATGATGGAAAGGATCAAAATTATATGAGGCAACAGAGCAAACCATCTTTAACAACAGATAGTATATGCACAGCAACATATGTAAAATCTGTAATAATAAACACGACAAAATTATATGTGGCAACTGAACGTATATATGTAGCAACATATAGTATAAATGTGGCAACATATGTCACAGTTTGAATTGTCCTAATTAAAAAAACGGCTTTAATTTTCATTTTCGCTCTCTCCTCTCTCCTCTCTTCTATAAATGTGTCGTTTCGTATTTCAAGATTTATTTATTTATACTAATAAATTTTTAGTTTTCTCTTCTCCCTTTGCCAGTACAATACACTTCTCCTTCTCTTCTCTTCTTCTCTTCCTTCTTTCACAGATCATCGTCTACAGTAAAGGCGGTGTTGTGTTGTCCTCATAATTTTTACTTTATCGTTGATATATATCTTATCAGGTAATATTTAATTAGGGTTTGAAATGCATTTGCTTGCTTATCTCCTTATTGCCCTGTTATGACTTGTGGTTGTAGCTCATTTTATGTCTTTCAAATATTTTATTTTTGTGGTTCAAATTTTGATACACTCAAATTTACTTCTCAAATAAGAAGTAAATCGGTCGTATCAAGTAAAGAACCCTAACTAATGAGGTTGGGGTCAATCCCACGAGGAAAATAGTTCAGACTTAACTTTATTCTATTATTACTATTATTTAGTCAACTATTTCCCTAGAAAGCAAAAGACAAAAAAGGGGGGTTTTATTTCTAAATTAATGAAAATAATTAACTAAATTAAAGTAAACAACTAACAGATTTAAATCTCGTAGCTTAACCAATAAATAAAAGTAACTAGGGCTTAAGTGTTCCCCACAGGTTCCTAACTTGATAATTCTAACTATAACAATTCTTTCCTAGTATCTTGCATGTAAAGTAATAAGTCATGTATCTCTAAATACTTGGTACAACATCTCAAAAATTTAACTCCGCACCTTGGTCCGGCTACGTGTGTTGCTATACTAACCCATACATTTACCTCATATTAAGCATTGTATTCGATATTTGACTAAGTTATTACCTCGTACCAACCGACACTAGCCTATTAGATAGTGTACACTAAATCTATGTTGATAATTCTTTTCCTATTCTAGAATTGCTATTTTAGTTAGATTTTACCTCATTATTCACCCATGGTTCTCACAACCCTAGTTATGGAGTTAGTTGCCCATGGTCATAATCACACTATTCATATATTTAATATAAGAATTCCTGCACTTACTTTAATGAGAAAGAAAATTCACCTGATTAATTAACAAAAACACCAACAATCAATTCCAGAAAAAGTGTATCAATTACTGAAATTAATTCTTCAATACTTGAACAAGAGAAGTAAAAAATATTCAAAAGTCTAACCCCAAAAATGAGGTTTTTCGTACTATTTATGATAAAAACAAAAACCTAATTAAAGAAGGATTGTAATTACTGAAAATCGGTCCAAACACGTCTGAGTCGACGGACCTTGTGACGAATCGTATTGGTCACGACGGGCCGTCACGGCCTCCGTCGTCCCATACTTAACAAATTCTTTTGCTACTTTATTCATTACCCTCAACGAACAGGTATGATGGACCGTTCCAAGCATGACGATCCGTCGAGGGTCTCTATTCCATAATTCTTTAATTTCTTGGAAATTGGGTACTGGAACTACTCTCTGATCATTACGACGAACCAGCAGGACGGACCGTCGTGGCTATGACGGTCTGTCATGGACTTCCGTAATCCCACACTAGGTTTGACTTTCCCATCTTCCTTCAGCAGCTTCTCTCCTCACTATGATTCCACCTACGGACCGTCGCAGACTAGACGGACCTTCATAAGCTTCGTAGGTGGTCTCTTCTGTATTTCTCGCTCAAAACTTCCGCGTTCATCTTTGGACAGATTTCCTGCAAATAAGGAGAATCTTACACAAAAATCAATACAAAAAAGCTTTTGGAAACACACTAAACTTAAGGAAAAAACATTTAAAATATCGTGAAACCTTGGTACATCAACACCCTCAACTTAAATTCGTTGTTTGTCCTCAAGCGACGCACTATGACTCACTACAAAATCTTTGTACAAGAGTATCCATACTTTAGCTTTCACAATCATTTGGCTATCAATCCCGATCATTCTCATCATGTTTATGCATGTTATCACTATTAGGATTGAGTTATGTGGACCCAGACAATGACACAGACTCACCACGCACTGACACCTATCCTCTTTAATTTCTCACAGAGGTGCTAATATTTCCGGTATTGCAACTAGTGTGCTCATTTCAAAACAACATCCTCATTTTTCACACAATGATTTCAGTTTGAGTATAAGGATTACTTTTAAACGCTCATTCTCAGAATAAATTCACAACTCATTCATACATATTACCTTAGGCTTGCCTTTATTTTCACTGCTTTAAGTTTGCCATACAACTCTTAGGATCACGATAGGACTTTCTTAGCTTGTAACATAGGCTCAGGGTCAGGTAGGGTATATTTAGATATACTTTAGTGACTTGTTGATCTCCTTGACATATCAGCTAAACGTAACACCTTTTTATCGTTTTATTTCGCCCATTTTTCAATTTTCTTTTTATCTTGTTGTTTTCCCTTTCTTATCCTTATATGTAAGTGA